ATTGTTCTGACTATCAGGAAATTTCTCCTTGTTTCTAGGTTGCTCCTATCCTTGACTATTTTCCATCCATTGTCTCTTGTTCTGCCTTCAGGTGCCTTGGAGAATAATTTGACCCCTCTTCTTTGTGGCAGCCCCTCAAATATTGGAACATTCCTTTCATGTCCCTCCTCATCCTTCTATTCTGTAGACTAGACTTACCCAATTCCTGCAACCATCATTGTATGTTTTAGCCTGAAGCCCCCAAATATGTTTGTTGCTCTTTCATTTCTTCTCTCTTAGTCCACATTAAGTCCAGTATAGGAACTTAAAAGAGCTGGGACTCTGCACATGGCATTTCTATCATCTTTCATGATAAAAATTCAAAGAAAACCCCCCAAAATATTTTTACAGAAATGCAGACTGTTCTGAAAAATTAAATATCTAGCAACGTCTTCTGTTGATGTCTAGATAGCCCTTAACAAACAAATATTAGAATAGAATAGAGCTGGAAGGGATCTTGGAGCTCTTCTAGGCCAGCCCTCTGCTCAAGTAGGAGAACCTAAACCATCTCAAACAAGTGACTGTCCAGTCTCTTCTTTAAAATCTCCAGTGATGGAGTACCCACAATTTCTGGAAGCAAGCTGTTCCATTAATTAATTGGCCTCACTGCTAGGAAGTTTCTCCTTAATTCCAGGTTGCTTCTCTCTTTGATTATTTTCCAACCATTGTTTCTTGTCCTGCCTTCTGGCGCTTTGGAGAATAATTTGACCCCTCTTTTTTTTTTTTTGCAGCCCCTCAAATACTGGAATATTGCTATCATGTCATCCCTTTTTCTTGTTTTCTTTAGACTAGTCAAGTCAAAGTCCTGCAGCCGTTCTTCATATGTTTTAGTCTCCAGGGCTTTGATCATGTTAGTTGCTCCTCTCTGAATTTTTTCCAAAGGCTTAACATCTTCTTTGTAGTATGGTGACCAGAATTGGTTGCAGTATTCCAGGTGTGATCTTACTAGGGTTTTATAAAGCGGTACTAATACTTCATGTGATCTTGATTCTGCCTCTGTTTATACAACCCAGGATTGTATTAGCTTTTTTGTCTGCTGCACCACACTGCTGGCTCATATTCAAGTGATCATCCATTAGGACTCCAAGGTCCCTGTTACAGTTACTGTTTTTGAGCCAGGTCTCGCCTAATCTGTTTTTGTATCTTTGATTTTTCCTGCCTAAATGTAAAACTTTTCTTTTCTCCACATTAAAGTTCATTTTGGCAGCTGCTGCACATTGCTGGCTGATAGTCAAGTGATTGTCCACTAGGACTCCAAGGTCCCTCTACTATTTATAACTTTATTTGCTTCTAGTTGTTTGCAGATCTGCTTCTTGATTATCTTTTCCAGGATCTTCCCAGGTATTGATGTTAGACCGATTGGTCTGTACTGTCCTGGGTCTGTTTTTTCCTTTCCTGAAGATGCAAACCACATCAGCCCTTTTCCAATCCTCAGGTACTTCCCCAGTGCTCCAGGATTTTTTAAAAAAATGGTGCAATGATTCTGAGATAACATCTGCCAGCTTCTTCAGAACTCAGGGAAGTAATCTGTCGCTTCCCGGTGATTTATATTTGTCAAGGTCAGCAAGATGTTTTCTTACCATTTTCTTGCTTATTTTAATTTTTGTTTCTAGTTTCTCTTTTGCCATAGTTTTTTTGGTATGTTGAGCTATAATTTCTTTTTGTGTGAAGACTGCTGCAAAGAATGAGTTAAGCAGCTCTGCTTTCTCCCTGCTGCCTTTTATTTCCTTGCACCTTCTCTCTTTAGTGTATCTACAATTTTCTTGATTTTTTCTTGTTATTAATATGTTGACAGAATCTTTTTTTATTGTCCTTGATTTCTGTTGCAAGAAATTTGTTCATTCTAAGCCTTTGCTTTCCTGACCATCTTAGCATTTTTTTGGCTGTCTGCTGATAATCAGCCTTAGTTATTTGTCCCACTTTCCATTTTTTGTACTTGTCCTTTTTGTCATTCAGTTTGTCAAAGAGAGATCTTTGTGCAGCCGTGCTGGTTTCTTCTTGATTTTTTTTTCTTTTTCAGTGGTATTGTGCCGGACTGGGCTTTTATGATCGCATTTTTCAGAGTTTCCCATGCTTCTTGGGTTGTTTTCCCTTTTAGGATTTTCATCCATAGAATCTTTCCTAGGTTGTTAAAATCAGCTCTTTTGAATTTTAAGACACTGGTTAGATTATTTTCTATTGCCTGTGTTTGCATTATATTGAATTTCAGTATGACGTGGTCACTTTCACCCAAGGTTCCAGTAACTTCCTCTATCACTTCTTCTCTTTTGGTAAGAATTAGGTCCAGTATAGCTTTACTTCTAGTTCCCTCCTCTACCTTTTTGATGACAAAGTTGCCAAGTAGGTTGGTTAGGAATTTGTTTGATCTCCCACTCACTGCAGAGTTGGTCTCTGACCCGGGCTGCCTAGATTGGAGTATGGGTCTAGGCTGTTCCTGAATATACTGCTGCCTCCATCAGTCTCCCTTCTTGTCTGCTGTTCAGCTGCCGGTTCACTGCTTTCAGTTCCCTCTTTTCCAGCATTGGGTTGCTGAGTAGGGCTCCTGAGCTGAATCTGTCATTCTCTGCTGCCGGCTGCCTCCGACTCCACGTGCAGCCATTCATTCGCTATGCTCCTGTTTGCTGGTGTTTTCCTCCTTACTCCAGTTTCTTCTTTTCCTTTATCCTTTCTGTGCTCCTTATCTAACTTTCTGCTGCTTTTTCCTCCCTTTTTTCCCCTCTCTTTGTATCTTCTACTTAGTTTAGTAACTTTTCTCTCCGTGATATGATACTGTTTCCTATGCTGCTGCCATTTTGCCATCCATTTTGGTACAGTAGAATAAGGTACTAACATAAAACCTCAACTATTTACTTTTATATGATAATATCAAGCTAGCCACTTCTATAACAACAAACTTATCTAATCAACAAAACCCAAAATCAAATGTTCATTCTTTTCTCTCTCAAGAACAAAGTCCAAAAGCAGTTTCCATGTAGAAACAAAAGACAGTCAATTTAGCCATCTCTGCTAACTCCATCAGGTTTTGCAACCATTCATCACTGTGGGAATGAACATATTCTTCCATTTTTATGCATGAAGTGCCACCATCAACATATATAACATCAATGTTCTATTTTTTTTCAAGTTATTTATCCAGGAAGCCTAAAAGAAAACTATCTGGTTTTATCCCAAATATGTTTTTTCATGAGGCAATTGGACTTTCTTGTTTTTCTTTTCTTCTCATCCAAGAAGCTTCCTCAGCTCTGACTGGATGGTGGGGAATTGAAGGATTTGTACTCCTTGCAGATAGCTGTTCATTTGCACTTTTTTAGCAAATTGTTAAAGCTCCCTGGAGGCTCATCTGTGTCTTCAGGGTCACCTGAGTAGTGCAAATGTGTGTGGAGCCTTCTTGGAACTGTTGAAAGGACTGTGTTGTAAACTGGAGATAGATGATGTCGGATCCCTCCCCCTCTGTTGAAAGAGGGCTGTTCAATTTTGACATAGATGGCCTCTTTGACCCCTCTTTCAAACCCCTCTTTCAAATCTGGTTTTATCTTTAGTTGATTTTTTAGTTATAATCAAAGTTTGAGTTTGCATATCTGAACTGCTTTCTCCTTTTTTTCTGAAAGCTCTCATTTCGTCGCCAGCTATAAGAAGGGTTTGATAAATTGCTTTCAACATAGCAAGAATTTGTTCCTGATTTTGCTCCATAAGAAAAGTTTGTTCCTGGTCTTCTTCCATAATGATGAGTTAAATTAGAAGCTTTTACAGGTTTGTTTTTTCAGTAAATAGAAAGCACAGCTAAGTCTCACACAGCTGGTGTTCAAGGCTGAATGAATCTTATTTTCTGGGCTGTTAGCCCAGTCTCTTTTAGAGAATAATAAATTGCAGTTTCAGGTTTAGCCACAAGATGTCGCCCCACCGTTTAAAGATTTCCTTTGAGCCTCAAAGTTATTTTAATCCTTTCAGTTTTTCTTCTGTTTTATGAGGAAAAACCCAGATCTTCAATAAAAATACAAAGTAAAAAATAGGTAATAGAAAATCTTTTAGTCCACAAATTTTAGGAAATAAAATTCCGATTGGGATCCAATTATTTTTTCAACATTTTAAACTCCCCTGGATAATTGTTCTCTGCTGTTTCTGGAGGGAGGGCTAAAATCCCCCTTCCCTCTCCTCAGGGGGGGAAAGTAATTTAGCAGCTTACATAGGTAGAAAAATTTAAGAGAGGCAGATCTCACCCAGTCTTTGCCGGCTCTAATGGGAAGGGCTCCTACAAAGAGAAAAACAAGTTGAACTATTTTCCAAAGCACCAAAAGAAACAATGGAAACTAACCAAGGAGAAAAGCAACCTAGAACTAAAGAGAAAAGTCTTAACGATTACAGCCATCAACCAATGGAATAGCTTTTCTTCAGAGATTTTGGATGCTCCATCAGTCGAGGCTTTCAAAAAGAGATTTGATGGCCACTTGTCTGATATGATATAGCAGGGGTCTTCAAATGTGGCCCTTTTATGGCTTGTGGACTTCAATTCCCAGAATTCCTCAGCCAGGAATTCTGGGAGTCATAAAAGGGCCAAGGTTGAAGATCCCTGAGGATCTTGAGGAATTCTGGGAGTCATAAAAGGGCCAAGGTTGAAGATCCCTGTGGTATAGTGTCTCCTGCTTGAGCAGAGCGTTGGACCAGAAGACCTTCAAGGTCCCTTCCAACTCTATTATTCTATGTTATATGTTGTATTGATTTTCATTACAGAGATTCTATCAAATACTTGCCATACTAAGAATTCCAAGTCAACAAGAGAATTTCATGGTTGAATGCAAATGTGAACTTGAATCTCAGTAATTTTGCAATGTGTCAAATTAATCATAAATAATGTAAGATGTTATTTTAGCATTGTGGGATGTTTGCTTTTTATCTTTAATATATGTGTTTTTCTTTTTCTTTTTCACATCTTCAGCAACCATTTTACCCTTGGAAAGCTCTGATTTGGGGGAAAGTTTCAGTCAGAACTCCAGCCTGATGATACACTAGACGATGCACAAACAAAAAAAAAATCATATGAGTGTTGTGATTGTGGGAAATGTTTCATTGCAAATTCCCACCTTGTGATGCACCAGAGAACACATACAGGAGAGAAACCCTTTGAATGTCCTGATTGTGGGAAACGTTTCAGTGAGAATTCTTACTTGGTGAACCACCAGAGGACTCAAATAGGAAAGAAATGGTATGAGTGTCCAGTTTGTGGGGAAGGTTTCAGTCACAATTCCAACCTGGTGAAACACCGGAGGACTCACACAGGAGAGAAATATCAATGTCCATATTGTGGGGAAAGTTTCATCACAAAATTCCAGCTCACGAGTCACCAGAGGATTCACACAGGAGACAAACCATTTAAATGCTCTGATTGTGGGAAATGTTTTAGTTACAATTCACACCTGGTGATACACCAGAGAATTCACACAGGAGAGAAACCCTTTGAATGTCTTGATTGTGAAAAATGTTTCAGTCAAAGTTTCAGCCTGGTGATACACCAGAGGACCCACACCAGAGAGAGACCCTTTGAATGTCCTGATTGTGGGAAAAGTTTCAGTCGGAGCTCCAGCCTAGTGATTCATCAGAGGATTCACAAAGGAAAGAAACTCTTTGAATGTTCTGATTGTGTGAAAAGTTTCATTAGAAAATCGCAGCTCATGAGTCACCAGAGAACACACACAGGAGACAAAGCATTTGAATGTCCCGATTGTGGAAAAAATTTCAGTCACAGTTCCAACCTGGTGATACACCGGAGGACTCACACAGGAGAGAAACCGTTTGAATGTGGTCTTTGTGGGAAAAGTTTTAGTCAGAATTGCAGCCTGGTGAAACACCAGAGGACTCACATAGGAGAGAAATCATATGAGTGTCCAGTTTGTGGGAAACGTTTCAGTCACAATTCCAATCTAGTGAAACACCAGAGGACTCACACAGGAGAGAAATCATATCAGTGTCCATATTGTGGAGAAAGTTTCATTACAAAATTGCAGCTCATGAGTCACCAGAAGACTCACACAGGAGACAAACCCTTTGAATGCTTTGATTGTGGGAAATGTTTTAGTTACAATTACAAGCTGGTGATACACCAGAGGACTCACACAAGAGAGAAACCCCTTGAATGTCCTTATTGTGGAAAAAGTTTCATTAAAAATTACCACCTCGTGATACACCAGAGGACTCACACAGGAGAGAAACCATTTAAATGTCCTGATTGTGGGAAATGTTTCAGTGAGAATTCCAGCCTAGTGATACACCGGAGGACTCACACAGGAGAGAAACCCTTTGAATGTCCTGTTTGTGGGAAATGTTTCAGTCAGAAATCCCACCTGGTTATTCACCAGAGGACTCACACAGGAGAGAAACCCTTTAAATGTCCTGATTGTGGGCAATGTTTCAGTGAGAATTCTGTCCTGGTGATACACCGGAGGACTCACACAGGGGAGAGACCCTTTAAATGTCCTGTTTGTGGGAAAAGTTTCAGTCAGAATTCCAATATGGTGGTACACCAGAGGACTCACACGGGAGAGAAACCCTTTGAGTGTCCTGATTGTGGCAAAAGTTTCAGTCAGAATTCCAATATGGTGGTACACCAGAGGACTCACACAGGAGAGAAACCCTTTAAATGTCCTGATTGTGCGAAATGTTTCAGTGAGAATTCCAGCCTAGTGATACACCGGAGGACTCACACAGGAGAGAAACCCTTTGAATGTCTTGTTTGTGGAAAATGTTTCAGGCAGAAATCCTACCTGGTTATTCACCAGAGGACTCACACAGGAGAGAAACCCTTTAAATGTCCTGATTGTGGGAAATGTTTCAGTGAGAATTCCAGTCTAGTAATACACCAGAGAACTCACACAGGAGAGAGACCCTTTAAATGTCCTGTTTGTGGGAAATGTTTCAGTCAGAAATCTCATCTAGTGATTCACCAGAGAACTCATACAGGAGAAAAACCCTTTGAATGTCCTGATTGTGGGAAAACTTTCATTAGTAAATCCCAAGTCATGATTCACCAGAGGACACACACAGGAGACAAACCCTTTGAATGTCCTGACCGTGGAAAAAAATTCAGTCAGAGTTCCAACCTGATGATACACCGGAGGAATCATACAGGAGAAAAATGGTTTGAATGTGTTCTTTGTAGGAAAAGTTTTAGTCGGAACTGTAGCCTGGTGAAACACAAGAGGACTCACACAGGAGAGAAATCATATCAATGTCCGTATTGTGGGGAAAGTTTCATTAAAAAATTCCAGCTCATCAGTCACCAGAGGACTCACACAGGAGAGAAACCCTTTGAATGTCCTGATTGTGGGAAAAGTTTCATTAGTAAATCCCAAGTCATGATTCACCAGAGGACACACACAGGAGACAAACCCTTTGAATGTCCTGACTGTGGAAAAAATTTCAGTCAGAGTTCCAACCTGGTGGTACACCAGAGGACTCACACAGGAGAGAAACCCTTTAAATGTCCTGATTGTGGGAAATGTTTCAGAGAGAATTCCAGTCTAGTGATACACCAGAGGACTCACACAGGAGAGAGACCCTTTAAATGTCCTGTTTGTGGGAAATATTTCAGTCAGAAATCCCATCTAGTGATTCACCAGAGGACTCACACAGGAGAAAAACCTTTTGAATGTCCTGATTGTGGGAAAAGTTTCATTAGTAAATCCCAAGTCATGATTCACCAGAGGACACACACAAAAGACAAACCCTTTGAATGTCCTGACCGTGGAAAAAATTTCAGTCAGAGTTCCAACCTGATGATACACCGGAGGAATCACACAGGAGAAAAACGGTTTGAATGTGTTCTTTGTAGGAAAAGTTTTAGTCGGAACTGTAGCCTGGTGAAACACCAGAGAACTCACACAGGAGAGAAATCATATCAATGTCCGTATTGTGGGGAAAGTTTCATTAAAAAATTCCAGCTCATCAGTCACCAGAGGACTCACACAGGAGAGAAACCCTTTGAATGTCCTGATTGTGGGAAAAGTTTCATTAATAAATCCCAAGTCATTATTCACCAGAGGACACACACAGGAGACAAACCCTTTGAATGTCCTGACTGTGGAAAAAATTTCAGTCAGAGTTCCAACCTGGTGGTACACCAGAAGACTCACACAAGAGAGAAGCCCTTTAAATGTCCTGATTGTGGGAAATGTTTCAGAGAGAATTCCAGTCTAGTGATACACCAGAGGACTCACACAGGAGAGAGACCCTTTAAATGTCCTGTTTGTGGGAAATGTTTCAGTCAGAAATCCCATCTAGTGATTCACCAGAGGACTCACACAGGGGAGAAACCCTTTGAATGTCCTGATTGTGGTAAAAATTTCATTGGGAGTTCCAACTTGGTGATTCACCAGAGGACTCACACAGGAGAGAAATCATATTAGTGTCCTGTTTGTGGCAAACGTTTCAGTCAGAATTCCAATATGGTGATATACCAGATGACTCATATAGGAGAGAAACACTTTGAATGCCCTGACTGTGGGAAAAGTACATTAGAAAAGTCCATCTTGTGAGACACCAGAGGATATGCAAAGGAGAGCAAAAAGGTTTCTGATTGTGGGAAACATTTCTGTTTCAATTCAATCCTGGTGAAACACCAGAGGACTCACATGGAGGAGATCTTTCAAATGTCCAGTCTGTGGATGGTACTTAGGGGGGAAAATCACTCCTTATTGCATACAAGAAAATCCACATGAGGCAAAAGTTTATGAGGTTAGAGAAGGCTTGAGTTTCCTTTCTGATCTCCCTTTGAGAGTGTAGGTGAGAAATTGACTCTTTGAATTGTGGCCTGATTCTTTTTAGTCCACACATCTCAAGTTTAGACCAGTAAGTGGAGAGAGAAAAGTGGAAACAGTTTGATTAAAGGCTAACTACCTGTTTCTGGTTATCAGCAGAAATTTCTGGATATTTTCTTTTGCAGAAGTTGTAAAAAAAGGCTTTGGGGTGGTATTTTTTCTATATTGATTATGGAATTCTAAAATGTGGAGTTTCTGTCTTCTACCTTGTCCTTTATTATGAGCGCCATAATTCCCCAGCGACCATATAAGTAGTCCTCGAGATACAGCTATAATTGGGCCTGCCGCTTTCAGTTGTACATTCTAACGGTGGTTAAGTGACATTACCTTGCTAAATTACCCCCACCCCAGTCTCTCTCTGATGAAGCCATCAAATGAACGTGCAAGTTCTTAAGTGCAATGGTGCTACCTCAGAGTTTGGGGAAGCTCTTGGAGGCCTAGCGCAGATCCAGGCTTGCCTTCCAAAGGCTTCCCCTATCCCAACCTTTGGATCCTCCCGGGCCTTTCTCTCCCTCACACGTCCCCATAGGTCTTTTCCTCCCCAATACGGTCCTCACAAGCTTTTTCTCACTCCCACTGGATCCCTGCAATCCTTAGGCCTGACTTCCACCCCACCAGGTATCACAGTCTCCTCCTCCATACCTTTTGAAGATCTCTGACCCTCATGTTGGGGAAAGAGGGCAGGACACCCATCTCTAGGCTACATGACTGAATTGTGATTGTGCCTGAGATTCAATCCTGGCCCACGCGATGGACATGTGGAAATAGCTGCCATTTTGCCATGCCTGCCTCTGGGTCAAACTGGTGTCTGCTTCTGGGTCACTGTTGCTTGGGAGTGGGATGAACTGTTCTGTTTTGCTACCTTAACACTTCATAGACTGTGTCTAATTTAAGGGGAGTTAAAGGTTAAGTATGATGTTTTTTCTTCTTTTATCTTTTTTTTTTCTTTTTTCTTTTTTATTATTGTTAACTTTCTTAATAATAACCCTGTACTCTGCTCTGGGAAGCGAGGGGGGGACGGTTGAGGGTGGGTGGGTGGGTGAGTGGGTGGGTAATGATAATATAGTCATGGTAAACACTTGGGCATTTCCCTTATGCTGCATTCATGTTTGTGAGAGGGATGAGAGGGGAGGAAGGAGTAGGGAGGAAGTAGGATGGTTAGAGGAGAAGGGGAGGGGAAGAGAGTAGGAAGGGAAGAGAGAAAGAGGAGGGATGTGGGGAAGGATTAGAGAGGGTGGACGCAGCCTGGGGGGAATGGGCAGGCGGTACCAATGGTTAGGAATTTAATTGTATTTTGTATGAATAAATGGAAAATAAAAACTTTTTAAATAAAAAAACACTTTGTAGACTGTTAAAGAATTGTGGGTACACTGAAAATGGTTGCTGTGTCTGGGAGATCAAAGATGGGAAAGGGTCATTAGGAGGGACATGATAGCTGTCTTCCAGTACTTGAGGGGCTGTTACCAAGAAGAGGGGATTGACTTATTCTCTAGGGCAGTGGTGGCAAACCTCTGGCACGCGTGCCAGAGGGGACACTCAGAGCTGTCTCTCTTGGCACACACGCCACCGCCACCAGCAGCAGGTCTATCAGGCCGCCACCGTCACTTGGAGCAGGAGCCCCGCCCAGCACAAAGGAAGTGAGGTGGCCGACTAGCAAGCTCGAGTAGAGGTGGCAGAGCAGAGGTCACCAACCATTGTCGATTGGTGGACCGGAAGAAAGGGGAGGGGGAAGCATTTTACATGCGTGCATGTGCACATGGAGCCGCGAGCACGCACACACTGCAAATGGGGCAGGGCTAGGGCCTGCGTGATATTCACTAGTCCTGCCCTGTTCTTGCGTTGTGTAGTGCCTTGTATCTGAACCCCATGGTGTGGCGGCAGCCATTTTTGCACCTTGCAGCACAGTGGCCCATTTTTGCACCCCCAGTTTTTGCATGCCAGAGGTGGCACTCAGAGGCGCCTCCCCCCCCCCAAGGGCACCACAATGCTGATGCAGCCCTGGCACTTTGCAATAAATAAGTGGGTTTTGGGTTGCAGTTTGGGCACTCAGTCTCTAAGGGTTCGCCATCACTGCTCTAAGGCACCTGAGGGCAGAAGTAGTAGTAATGAGTGGAAGCTTGTTAAAATGAGGAGGAGAAATTTTCTGTCAGTGGAAGCAATTAATCAATGGAATAGCTTGCCTCCAGGCATTGTGGGTGTTCCATCACTGGAGGTTTTCAAGAATAGGCTGGATAACCATTTGAGTGGGATGGTATTAGGCTCCTGCCTTAAGCAGTGGTTGGACTAGAAGACCTCAAGGATCTCTTCCAAGCCTATAGTACTATGTTTCTATGAATTTAGAGGCAGTTTAGAAAATAGGTAAAGAGCAGCCCCATGAACTTGATTCTCGTAATGTGGTTTTTTAAAAAAAAAATTGGAAAATTAATAGAAATTACGAACTCCAAAACGAAAATTTTTTTAAAAAACAAAACAAGGATAGACACAGCATTGAAAAAGAAAGAAAAAATGTGGCGTCAAGCTTGAAGCTCACTTTGCTGGTGCAACAAATATTGCTTCTTAGCTTGCCAATGAACTTGGGGGGAGGATGGGGAAATTGGAATGCAGTCTACAAAGATAAAGAAAGCAGACCATGGGAATCACGGACTATTCACAAGGTGCCTGATTCGACTCAGAGATATTTTGTCATAACAATATAATTGCACCTAATTGGGCAATGTGACCCATCCATTAATGGAAGAGGAAATTCTATTCTTTTCCGATAGGGGTTTGGGCTGGGGTTTACCAGAGCTGGTTTTGATTTTATGTGTGCCGAAATGATGTACTCAATAAAATTTTACATTAAGAGATCGCAATGTCTCAAAGGTGTTTGCTTGGTTGGGTTTGTCAGTCGGAATCTTGACATATGCATCAAAAACAGAAAAACAAGGAGAGAAGCAACCTAGAACTAAGGAGAAATTTCCTGACAATTAGAAAAATTAACCAGTGGAATAACCTGCCTCCAGAAGCGGTGAATGCTCCAACACTGGAAGGTTTTTTTTAAAGAAACTGGACAGACATTTGTCCGAAATGATATAGGGTTTCCTGCCTGAACAGGGGGTTGGAGTAGATGACCTCCAAGGTCCCTTCCAACTTTATTATTATTATTATTATTATTATTATTATTATTATTATTATTATTATTGATCATCGCACAATCAGCCAGATGTTCAGACTGGATTTGGCATTTTGTCTACCTATTGAGTCCTTACCAAGGACCTGGGATAGGCAGATGTGGATGTTTGATGTTATTACAGATATTGTCACAGGATATCTGTATTATTACTACTACTACTACTACTATTATTATTATTATATATTATGTCCCCCCAGTTAAGTACTCATAAATATATTGGAGCAATATTATTTTCCTCCCCCTGTGAAGCAGGTTCAAAATTTATAAACTACCTCTATTTGCAATCAATTTGACCTTTATCTATCTACTATATAGAGAGGCAATATAGTTAACAAGTGAACCAACAGCAAAGTTAAAACATAAAAGCACTTTGTTAATAATCTATATTGCATTTAACTTGTAAAAAAATCTAAAACGGCTTCTTATTTATAATAAGTCACCATATTCATTGTCTCTGATTTGTCCGGGATGAACTACTTTTGTTTGATTCTTATTAATAATTTTTTTTCTTAAGATTTTGGTTGAGCACAATAAGAGAACAATTGTGTCTTATTCCCCAAAATCATAAACCATTATGAGTGTCCAGATTGTGGGAAAACATTCAGTCACAATTCCAGCCTGATTAACTACCTAAGGACTCACATGGGAGAGAAACCGTATAAGTGTCCAGTTTGTGGGAAAAGTTTCAGTTACAATTCCAGCCTAGTGAGCCACCAGAGGACTCACACAGATGAGAAACCATATTAAGTGTCCAGCTTGTGGCAATAGTTTCAGAATAAAATTCCAATTCATGAGTTATCAGAGGACACACAAGGAGAGAAACCATATGAGGTGTCATATTTATGCCAAACGTTTTATTAGAGGAGGGAAAGCCTTTGAATGTCCTGTTTGTGGCAAAAGTTTCAGTCGGAATTCGAACCTGGTGAAACACCAGAGGACTCCCATGGGGGAGCCCTTTCAAATGTCCAATCTGTAGATGTTACTTCAGGGGTAAATCATCCCTTATTGAACGCAAGAAAATCTACATGAGGCAAAAATTGATGAATTTAGAGAAGGCTTGAATTTCATTTCTGATCTCCAATTGAGAGTGTAGATGAGAAAGGCTTTTGGTTGGTGTTGTTTGTAGAATTCCTTGAAAGAAATTCAGAGACGAGGTTCGGAGTAGCAGAATAAAGTTTCTTTTATTATCAAAAATCAAGTTTAGCAGGAAAAGACGGTTTGCAAAGCGTGGTGGAACTTAACCCGTACTCACAAGAGTCACAAGGAAAAGCCACACCTCCTACAGAAGCGTAACAGCAGTTATACCCCTCCCTATCTCCTCCTATACCTACGTCAGCTATTCCTGACGTGGCAGGTCACAAACCTATCAGACGACACAATTATCCTACCTTACCTCCTACCTTACCATATATGGGTATTCTTTTGTTCTCTACATGTGGACATTCTCTACTTAGTTCCAGGCACGTACTCATGTTTTCTTGCACATGCTCAGTGAGCCTGTTGCTGAATAGAAAATTTTAAACTTTTCTAAAACCTTCCCATTCAATTCCCCCATTTCTTATTTGGTCACTAGTTTAATATTTTCTTTTATTTCATTTAACCTACTAGTTTCTTCTTTGGTAGTTTTCCATGTTTCCGACTCCTCAAGATTAGCCTTCTTTACTCGGGTATAATGAGTCCAACCCTTTTCTTGTGTTCGAATGGCAGTGTCTGTGGTCAATAACACCAAGAACGGTCCATCCCACTTCGGTTTGAGGGAATCATCTTTCCACGTCTTTATCCACACTTGGTCTCCGACTTCTATGGAGTGGACTTTGAAGCTTAGAGGAGGAGTTTGTATCAAATAGCCAGTTTTTTTGCGTTTCCTTTGGTGGCATTCGTAATGCAGGCTTCACATCCTTCTGTTTTTGTTGCTCTCCTATATCGTTCTCCAGTCATAGATCTGGTTTGGACATTCGATTACTGTCGCTTTAAAGGTTCTGGATTTGGAACACAGGTCCACTGTTCTTTTGGTTCAGCTACTGGTCCCTTCACTCGTGTGTAGTGGGTCCACCCTTTTTCTTTCGTCCAGACTGCGTTTCAGAGGTCAGCAACACTGGAATGGTCCTTCCCACTTAGGTTGCAGTTTTTCCTCCTTTCACGTTCGGATCAGGATCCACTGTCCCACCTCAAACTTGTGGACAGGAAATTTCAAAGGGGGTGTTTAGATCAGCAAGCCTTGTTTCCTGAGATAAGACAAAGCAGAAAACAGCCCCAGTATCTAATTCTTTATAAACATGTCATTAGTTTTCATATTGTGGAATTTCCTACTTGAGATGATTTAAAATCAATTTGAATGCATTGAAATAGCCTCACCATTAGATGTTATAGAGCATTTTATGTATTTGTCTACATATCATATAACCAACCATATATTAACCATAGAAAAGTATCAATTATCCCTCCCCTAGCCATTTCTTTTATCCGTATTTACAAACACATTGCTTAGTAAAGAGCCAACAAAGGAGCTCTCACCAACTCTGCTTGAGTTTGTTTGCATACAAATCTTTATTCAAAACATAGCTCATTTATAATCCCAACATTTTCTCAACTCCTTCGTTTTAAACAAGGGTTGAATTACCATTCCTTCAGGTCTCCTAGATATTATGTTTTTATCAGTGTGTCCTGCACACAGACATAAAAACATAAAAATAAAACTACAGTATAGGTGTATTCAAGTTCTTCTCATATTTCATTACTATAAGAATGGGTATTAAATTTCACATCCACCCCACCTTCCTCCCAAAGCAGAATTCCAAGCGGAGAAAAAAGTTAAAATGAGCAGCCCCCC